CAACCCCTTGCACCACCCGGGAGGCCCAATAGACACTTACTCTTCTGTGGTTTTCTAAGCATTTTATACTTTTGACTGTTACATTTAGATCTGTAATCCATTTTATGTTAACTCTTCTGTCTGGTGAACGAAGGGTCCACCATCATTCTTTTGCATGTAGACAGTTAGGTATAGATCTTCAGTTGTCTTAGTCATCGAGATACTCAATAGTTGAAGAGACCATTCTTTCCCCCATTGAATGGTGTTGGCATCCTTGTTGAAAATCAGTTTACCTTAGGCGCATGGATTTGTCTTGGGACTCTCATTTCTATTCACTCCTCTATACAGGCAGTCATCCTCATTCCAGTACCTCTTTGCCTGGATCACTGGAGTATTATGTTGATTAATGTTTGGATGTTAAGCCAAACATGCACTTCTGGAATATATAAGTGTAATTCTTATAATTCTTCAGCAAATACTTGCTTTGCTAGGATTTTGTTAAGGACTCTTGCATCTGTATTTGCAAGAGGTATTTGTCAGTAGTTTTCTTTGGCACTGATGCCCTTGCCTGGTATTTGGTATCAAGGTAATACTAACCTAGAATGAGTGGAAAAGTCTACCCTCCTCTGTCTTTTTCCTCCTGACTTATTTCACTTAGCATCATCCCCCTCCATTTCTGTCCATGTTACCATAAATGGCAAGAGTTCACTTTTTATAGCTGAATAGTATTCCATTTCATTTATTTACCATGACTTTTTTCTAATACCACTTCTTTTTAATCCACTCATCTGTTCTTCAGCACTTATGTTGCTTCCATAACTTCGCTATAGTAGATAATGCCTCAGTGAACATCTACTTACATATATCCCTTCAAAGTAGTGTTTTTGTATTCTTCAGGTAGATACCTAGGAGTAGAATTGCCAGATCAAAAGGTAGATCTGCTTTTAATATTTTTAGAAACCTCCATACTGTTCTCCATAGAGTCCACATTCCTACCAAGAGAAGCTTCCTTTTTCTCCAAACTCTCTCCAACTTATGTTGTTTCTGGTATTTTTAATATGGCCCATTCTCACTGGTGTGAGGTGGCATCTCACTGTGATTTTGATTTGCATTTCCCTCACGAATGATGATGAACATTTTTTTCATGTGCCTGCTGGCCATGTCTTCTCTGGAGAATTGTCTATTTAGGTCTTTTACCCATTTGTTATGGGGGCTTTGTTTTCTTTTTGTTGAGTTGTGTGAGTTTTGTAGATCTTGGATATAAGCTCCTTGTCCCCTATATGATATGCACATATTTTCTCTCGTTCAGTAGGGTATCTTCGTGTTTTAATCAGTTTCTTTCCTTGTGTTGTCACTGTTTCATCAGGCAAACCAATGAGAATTCAACATTTCTAAGGAAATTTAATCCAAAGTACAGTTGGTCCCCTTTCGAAAATTTTCATGTCACTGTATACTCAAGGGAAACCACCTAATCAGTAGATATTTGTTGAAATCATTTATTTGCTAATCACATTTGTTTATTTTTGTTTCTGTTTCTCTTGCAGAGTTGAGTCCCCAAATACATCACAGAGGCCCACATTATAATAAATAGTTATAGATGGTTCTGCCTGTTTTTCTTCTATATATTTTGAGGTTTCAGGTCTTTAATCCAACTTGAGTGAATTTTTGTGTATATAAGATAGTGGTCTAGTTTCACTGTTTTGCATGTGAAGTTCAGTAATTTTTGAATACTGCTGTAAATCTTTAGTGACCAAAGGAAATTTAAAATACAATCAATTAATGGATTTAGTTTTTCTGCAGGTTTTAAAAAGCTCTATTTATTTAGATAAAACATTCTTGAATTTTTTATCTAATAGCTTACCTATGTGATAAGCTATTAGATAAGTTGCATAGAACTAAATAGACCCACACACAGTGAGTGCTGGTAAAACTGGTGAAATCTGTAGAGAGTGGATGAATTGTGTGGAATTTGATTTCTTGGGTATGATATTATACTACAGTTAATACAGAATGTTGCCTTAGGGAGGGCTGGGTGAAACCTCTCCTGGTCTCTCTTTTCTTTCTAACAACTGTATGGGAAGCTGTAATTATCTCCAAATAAAAAGCTGAAACAAAGTCTTTCTAAGAAGCATCTATAGTAATAATAACTACCATTTATTGACTGCTACTGTCAGGTGGTGCTATGGTCATCCTCCTTTTATCAATGAGAAAACAGAACAGACTTTAAGCAGTTTACACAGTATCGCCCAGCGAGTAACTGGCCGAATTAGCATCTAGATCCAGACAACTTCCTCCGAAGCTGAAGTTCCTGATCACTCTGCTCCACTTCTTGTCTGTCTGTCTTCGTGCCCTGCCTCCTAATCCTTGAACTCACCCACTGCAGTTTAGCTTCACTCCATTCACAACCGTGGACCTGCCTTTGCCTGAATTATTAACAAATTCATTGCCAAATCGAGTAGATTATTTTGGCCCTTACCATTTTTCCTGCGGTTGATGGTATCGGTCAGGCCTTCAACAAGCATTTATAGAGCACCTTGTGAACCAGGCTCTGTTTTACAGCAGTGAACCAGGTATGCGAATGTGGGGGAGGGCGGGGGGTGGAGAGGGAGATGTCTAGTACCTGCTGACTTGTTTGTGGATGGTCAGCATACCGTCCACCTTACTGTTCACACCTCTGTTTTTCTGTGGCTTGAAAAAGATCGTATTGTCATTTTGTTTGTGGTTTCACAGCTAAATCAGATTGTACTATATTTAGATACTATTTTCACTTTTCTTCACATAGTAATGTAAACCTTTCCAGGTGACTGTCATGACTATGAATAAATTAAGAGCACCAAATTCTGAGTGTACTACCCTTCTTCGGTAATTAACCATAAATAGAGGAAATGAATTGTCTTTGAACTTTTACCTACTTCTTCTATATGAGGATAACTTGGATTAATTTTTGCTCCCTTATTTGGAAATACCAGGAAGATCTCTGCAGAGACTTAAATAAGTTTCATTCCATATGTCCAAATAAAAAACTACTCCAAGGAAAATACTTGACTTCACTGGAGATGTGATGGTGGATTTTTGCATGACACTGAAGCGGAGCATTTAAGCCAGAGCTGAGGGAAAGGAGTCATCTTGTCTCTGTCCACATGTGTGTGGTTATTTTCTGTGTTTTCATTCCTTTCTCCAATTCAGTAAAGAATAAAAAAATTTTCACTCTTGCTTCTTCATGCCAAAACAGTTCTTGTTTTATTTGTTCTAAAGGGAATGCATTTTCCTTGGTGATTGGAAGCAACTATGATTCTCTTGCTTGCTTCTGGGGTCACTGTTTTGTCTGATAGCTGCCCACAGCAGCCGCCGGCAGTCTGCATGGGCAGAGCTGTCAGAGTCACAGGCTTCAGCGCACTCGAATGCCCCTTGGGGAAAGATGACAGGTTCAGCCCAGTGACTTGTAAAACTTTAAAAGTGATTCCAAGACCTCCTTGGTGGCGCAAGGGGTTGAGCACAGCACTATGAAGCAATCCACAGCCTCTGCAGCACGAGTTCCATCCCCAGCCAGCCAGGGAGCTACCTACATGGCGCAGCAGAGCTTTCCTGTCGTGCCTGCTGCTCCCTTCAGCAGTGTATTTCAGTCAGGCTGCCTGTTCTGCTCCCCACTCTGTCTCTGGTGAATCCTCTCATCCCCCGCCCCCCACGCCTGTGGCCTGTACCCCAGTTCTTGTATGCATAAATAAATAAATCTTTTTTTTTAAAAAAAGTGATTCTTTGTCAAACCGCTGGGAAACAACTCTTCCTTCTCTATGAGTCAAGGGCGAAATTGAGAAACTGTCTTACACCAGATGGTGATTCCTTGCTAGAAAATAGGCCTAAGCTGATTCAGCTCCATTTATTCCTTTATGTTCATTTTGCAAAACCCACAAAGAACACATTTGGGGCCACTTTTCGAGTTGGCAACAGACTCTGCTTTTTAAGGAAATCATATGGACACCAAAAAAAGCCACAATGGATGAAGCACTGGGAATCCCTGAGGTCCAGAAATGAGATACATGGGCCTTAAATCCTAGGCCATCAGTTAGGAGCTGGCCTGCACCCAAGAAGCACCCCAATTGTTATCAGATTTAGCTATGTGATTAAATCTGTTTTTTTAAAAAACAACATTTAGTCTTGTTGATTAAACCTCTTAAAAAGAAAGAAGAGGGAGGAGTAGGAAATAGAAACTATGAAAACACCTTTTGTGATGAAAAAGTGATTCTTAAATTTCAAATCATGAAAGGATTCAATATTTAACATTGCTTTAATATATTTAGAAGTTATTTCATATATTTCTTTCATATATTTAGAAGTTATCTAGGGCAAATTTGAGCATGTGTGTGTCTGTCTGACTAAGTGCCTGTCTTAGTAACCTTAGCTTTTTAAAGATGGAACAGATACCTAAGGATATAATGAATCCTTTCACCAGGGATGTTGCAAAGAGAGTTTAAACACAAGTAATCATAGAGGTTAATTTTGAAGATTTTTTTCTTTACCTGAAATCCTCTGCATCATGTGCTAAGTGAAGTAAATCAGAAAGAGAAAGACAAATGCCAGCTGGTTTCACTTATATGTGAAATATAGAGAAACACAACAAAGGGTCAGACAAAACCAAACCAGTAACAAACCCTAGAAATCTGACTGTCGAATTGAGGGCACGTGGGGGGAGGGAAACAGAGGATGGTGGTGGAGGGTTTGGGAGCCTCTTTGGTGCTGGGTGTGGTGCCAGGCACTGGGGGACGGGACTCTGTTCCCTGTTTGAGTCACACGCAGAGTGGTGAACCAGTGTCACCTCAATAATAAAAGTACAATTAAATAATTAACTTAAAACACTATGCATTATGACTCAGCCCTCTTCATAGTTGTTTTTTTTTTTTTTTTAATTACTTTGATTTGGGGTATTTCCAGCCTTTTCAGGTAATACCCATTGTCTGTTTAGCTTTGTCTTATATGTAATAAAACCTTGACCGCTTTGTTAATGTGCTGTTTTATTTCTCCAGGTGTCTGAACACACACAGTTAAGTTGGATCCTCACCTGCCTGGTCAGACTGCCCCGATTACAACACCTGCACCAGTGGAAGGTAACTGCGAGGGGCCTAATTCATCATCAGGAGTTCAAGGTCCCCAATACAGCTATTCCCACCCCCCTGCCCCATTCGTTTATTTTTGTGCTTGGCTCTGTACATACTGAGTGTGGGGGCCTCCCAAGTTAGTGGCTGGAAGGGCCCCTCTCTCTGTCTTGGGCATTAAACCAAAATAAGGCCTCCCAAGATCCTTTCCAACTTCAAAACTGGATTAAAACAGCCAATGTTTGATTATCTGATTTTCTCTGCATATGGTTGAGTCAGAGTGACTTTTGGATATACTCAGTGATGACTTAGCAGCTACCACATTATAATTAACAATCACAACCTCTGGATTCCTGGGCTCAAGTCGCCGCCCATCTCCACTGGAATTAGCTGACAGTAAGGCAAGAATGTTTTCGTCAAGTGGAGAAAAGAGACAATGTTTTTTATTTAACATTTAAACAATATGAATTCAGGCAACAGTTCAAACCCACAGAACCAAGGCTATACTTTTCCTAAGACCTTCAACTGAGCAAGATAAATTGGGTAATTGAGAGTACTTTACTTGCATTTAGTTTTGCAATTGGATAACCCGAGGGTGGGTTGGTAGCCCCCGACCACCTCATCACTAATTCCAGTTTCTAGCTTCTTTCCAGCCTATTTTCAGGGCTGTTGGTTTCCTCAAAAGCTGGTTCGCAGAATCCTTCACACTCGCAGGAGGGAAAACAGACAGAGCCTTACAGTGTAGTGCCAGGAAGGGAACTAAGAGGAGGACAGATCCATCACCCACCAGAATGCGAAACAAAATTTTATAATTTTTTCTGCATTTTTTGGTAGTAGACGAGATTTTCCCATGCTGTTGTAATACTCTGCGTTGAATGCTGAAGTCCTTTCTGTAAACAGCGGATCCTAACTTCATGGGACGTGTCCCCACTTGAAAATAGTGACCGAGGACCCAAAGCCCAAGCGCATGACCTGTGCATGCGCTGATCATGTGCTGCCTGATTTCTTACCTGCGGGAAAAGCAAGGGTTTCCAGCAGCGGCCTGCCCTCGAGGGTGCTACTGCCTTCTGCCACCAGCCCTTCGTCCCTTGAGTAGCCACAGACGCTTGAGATGCATTTGTGCAAGCCTCACATGATGCTGAGGCCGGGGGTGCAGCTTAGCCCCTGCTTGAAGCCTGTAGTGTATTTAGGAAGAGACCAAAAGAGCAATCTGTAAATGTCAAAAGTCCATGTAGAGGAGGGTTCCCGTGCTGTGAGGGTTGAGGAGCACCTAGCTTGGTTTTGATTGGGACAAGGAGAGGGAGAGCAGGGCTGGGCAAGCTTGTTCAGGGCAGCTGAGGTCAGGGTTGTAGGGGGGTTATCAAGATGACGCGGAGACAGTCGATAACTCTCCATGCTCTTCACATAGTCCCCCTTCCTCCAGTCTTCTTATATAAAATGACTGTAAATATTCTCTGATGTCATAGAAATTTTTAAAAATCGGGTTCTTTTCCCATTTGCTCATTTCCAAATTAAACCCTCATTATCTTTGCCCAGTGATCATTACGAACTGGCCTTCATCCATGGACGTGTAATGAGAAAATGTACTGAGGGCATCATATGTGCAAATCATTTAATGGCCTATAGCATTTCTTTGTCGCCATCAGCCAGAAACTACTTGAAATAGCCAGAAAGTTAGGATTGTTACTAAATGATGAAGCTTTGACATTCAGAGGGTTAGAGAGAAGCCCCTGCTTTTCAGGCCCAGCCTCCAGGGGTGTATCTGCATGTTAGCCGGGGACCCCAAGTTGTGAGCTCAAGAGCTTCTTCCTGGAAGCAGGCAAATTTATAAATTCAGCTGTTGAGTTCATTCAGAAGCAACTGGACTTCAGGGAAGTGATTCATTCATTCATTAATTAAGTACTTAGATACAACAACACACCAAATAGCAGTTTGTCATTTTACAATGATGCTCCTAGACCTTGGAAGCAGTTACCAGTCAACGGTACACAACGTGTCCTGCTATTTAGTGGTTCTGTGCAGACAGCCAGATTGCCTGGCAGCAATGTGTAACTGCAGCAGGAGCGCTGGTGCCACGAGGGCTTGCATTCAGGGGGTGCACCCTTGTAGTGTATAGCCAGTTACCAAATACTTCTGCCACCACCTCTGCTGTTCCCACCAGTTTCCCCATTAGGAAGACTTTTTCATCTGTATAATGAAGAAAGGGCATTTGATGTTGACTAATAGTAATATTATAGACATTTATTTTTTTCTGACCTTGCCTGTGAAATCTAGAAATTTTCTTTCTTTTTTAAATTTTTATTTATTTATACAAGAACTGGGATATAGGCCAGATGTGTGGAAGGGTGACAGATTCACCAGAGACAGAGTGGGGAACAGAACAGGCAGACTGACGAAATACACTGCTGAGGGGAGCAGCGGGCAAGACAGGAGAGGTCTGCCTCACCATGTGGGTTTCTCGCAGCCAGTGGGGATCGAACTGTTACAGGGCAGGGAGAGGGGCAGCCCAAACCCCGCAAACCTGCCTGCTCTTAAATAGGTTCTGCCATCCGCCGCATCAACACAAAACATATGAGACTTTAATGGGAAGGAACTTTAATACAATTAGGAAACAATACAGAAAGGCAAAGAATCTAGTTTCTAAATCAAGCACCCAAAGTGACCCATACCCTCGTGGGTAAAAGTCCACCCAAGCAGGATTGGCCCAGAGCAAGTCCCCAAAGCTGCCCCAAGTCTAAAGCACCTTCCAGTGTCCCCACTAGAAAAGGGTCAGAAACAACCAGACAAGTCTGGAAGGAAAAAAGCAAAATCAAAATCAAGATAAAAGCTGCCATTGTCACCTCCCCACGGGTCTCACCCACATCTCTGTCACCCAGTCCACGACCAAAAGGCAAGTGCAGTTTCTTCACGTGTCTCTCGGCTCCATGCGCCTCCTCCAGGTCTCCTTCTGGCTCCACCCTGCTTCCTTCCTTCTCAGTCTCCTCTGCAGCTTCTTCTCTCCCTAATCAGCTCCACCCTGCATTTGGATGTGGCAGGGAACCTGAAACCTCCCCCTTTCCTGGGGACCACCCTGTTATAGAACTGGCACTGCAGAGGCTGCGGACAGCTTCACAGCACTGTGTTCAACTGCCTGTGCCACCAGGGAGGCCCTCTTCTTAAAAAAAAAAAAAAGGATTTTATTAATTTATTTTGCATAGAAGAACTGGGGTGTAGGCCAGAGGTGCAGGAGTGGAGGTGGGCATGAGAGGATTCTCCAGAGACTGAGTGGGGAACAGAACAGGCAGATGCACTAAAATACATGCTGAGGGGAGCAGCAGGCGAGTCAGGAGAGGTCTGCTGCACCATGTGGGTCAGCTCCCTGGCCAGGGATCGAAATTTCAGGCCATCATGGCTGGCTGTTGGGGTGAAAACACTGAGCCTTAACCCCTAGGCCACTAGGGAGGCCCTCGAAATCTAAAATTTTTCTGATTTGAAACCTAAAAAAAAATTATACTTTCACTTTAACTGAATGGATAAGAACTAGTAGTAGTGCAGAGGCCTTTAAAGGGCAGTGGTGGGATGGAGTCACCTTATTCTTGCCTAAGCCTGGAGCGTGAAGACAAGCCAGCCAGGAGACACATATGTTGTTACAGGTGGCTTCAGATCAGCCGTGGCTAGCCTTTACGGTCTCTTCATTTAGCAATATAAGGGGGTTCATGTTGCATTTCTCTCCCCTATTGCTTGCTCCCCTACAGGCAAAGACTGCCAAGCAGAAGCAGGATGGAACCGTGGGCCTGCTCATGTACCCTGTTCTCCAGGCTGCTGACATTCTACTGTACAAGTAAGCCCCACGGTTCGCCCTGGTCTCACACGTACGCATGCTGGCAAGAGACTGTTTCACCTACCTCAATAAGATTTGGTTCATGGGAAAGAGGGAACGCACATGAGTCCTGTGCCTCTGCCCCCCGGTACTAAATTATAGAAATCTGTTTCAGTGTAAAACGAAAAATATTAAGAGTTAACAACTTGAGTAGCCTGGGCTGTGTTGGAACCAGTTAGTGTTTTCCCTGCATTAACCCATTTAATCCTCACGACCTTATAAAATTTACACTATTGTCATCCTCATTTTACTGTTGTGGAACACAGAGTGGCTGGTGACTTGTTCAAGGTTATATAACTTAGCAAGAATTGGACCCAGAATTTGAGTCTAGAAAGCTTGGTTGGCGTCTGTGCTCTTAACCCCCTTGTAATACGTACGTCTCTGGCATCATGAAAACTCAGGAGTTGTAAGTGTTGATTCCTTGTATGTCCACACGCCAGAGCAGTCCTGCTCAACAGGGCTCGCTGTGGTGATGGAAACGCCCTCTACGGCCTCGCCCCACTGGCTGCACACGGCTGTTGAGCACTTGACATGTTGACAGAGGATCGGAATTTTCCGTTTTATTCCATTTAAATATAAAGAGCTGTGAGATAATTATAAACCAGAGACATCCTGCAGGGGAGGAGGCAGGAGAGGGATCAGAGGGAGGGAGGGAGACACACAGGGGACTGAGGTGATGGTGCACGGGGGCATTGGGGAAGGAAACTCTATGGGGACTCCACCTGAGGGGGTGGGGGAAACAAATATTGTTTATAAATAAAAAAATAAAAAGAAAAAGAAATAAAAAGAAAAAGAAAAGAAAAGAAAAGAAAGGAAGGGATAAATTCAAAGAGCTGTGACTAATGGCGACCCTATTGGACCTGAGGGTTGAGCTTCAATTTTTCTTTTTAAAGATTTATTTATTTATTTATTTATTTATTTATTTATACAAGCACTGGGTACAGTCAGAAGCGCGGGAGGGTGAGAGAATTCACCAGAGCCAGAGCAGGGAACAGAACAGGCAGACTGACAAGTACACTGCTGAGGGGAGCAGCGGGCGGCAGGAGAGGTCTGCGCGCCATGTGGGACCCTCCTCTGGTGGCCGGGGAGCAGCTGGGGATCGAACCGGTGCAGCAGAGGCTGCGGGCATCTTCGCAACCGAGCGCTCAACCGCTGCGCCACCAGGGAGGCCCTGAGTGTCAATTTTTCAATGTGATGTAAAGTGTCTTCACTTTTCCTGGATCCGTAATTTATCCGATTACCTGCTGCTGCTACTGACAGGTCTGAAAAATACACAACCAGCGGGTGTAGACAACCATCACCTGCACTGTGTATACTGCTGGCCAGGGCTGCCGACCCAGTCCCTCTCCCATGTGACCCCGCTATCCCTCATCACCACCCCCCGCCCCTCCTTTCATTTTTTAGATCAGCACGCACTGGTAGGCAAGCCTTGCCACTTTGAAAGTGTCTGAGGAAAAAGAGAAATTCCATTAGCTTTTCCCCACCCCTTCCCCCTAAAGCCTTGGCCCCGTGAAACATTTTCGTTCTTCACGGAACTAGAACACTTTACCTGTAATTCTGATCCTGTCACAGAGATGACAGTTCATGTGCCTTGGGCAGTATTGATGGAGACAAGCAGAGGGGTAGCTGCTTAGCTTTGCGGTGAGGAACGCCCAGCAGTATGTGAGGCCGTGTCTATTTCTGATCAAACGTCTCTGTAGGGACTACGTGTCTGTTTGTTGTATTAACTTGAATTCTGGGCTCCTGATCGCTTCATACACACTAAGTGACTCTACTTGTCCAGGGAAGTCCCCAGCACATAGCTAATGAAAGTCTGAATCAGGGCATCCCCAGTGGGGCAGCAGGTTGAGCGCAGCGCTCTGAAGCTGTCCGCAGCCTCTGCAGCATGGGTTCGATTCCCAGCCAGCCAGGGAGATACCCACATGGTGTGGCAGACCTCTCCTGTCTCGCCCGCTGCTCCCCTCAGCAGTGTCTTTGGTCCGTTAGCCTGTTCTGCTCCCTGCTCTGTCTCTGGCGAATCCTTTCATGCTTCTGGCCTGTACCCCAGTTCTTGTATAAATAAAAATAAAATCTTTTTTTTTTTTTAAAAAAAAGAGAAAGTCTGAAACAGCTCTGCGTTTCCTGTGTCCAGTCTGTCCTATCTCAGGCTGACCTGCCTGTGGCCACCGCATATTCCCCAGCCCAGAAGCCCTGTTTCTTTGGGCTCCTCTTTCCCCCCAACTTCCCTCAGGCTGTCCCCCAAGCGCCATCGCCATGCTACACGGAACAGCCCACATTTCCTGCTACAGGGGTCCTTGCACCACTATAAAGCGTGCAGACAAGTGCAATAAAGTCGGCTCTGGTTTACTGCAGCATTTATTCTGCTACCCTACGTTTCTCATCTGTCTGTTTATGCTTCCTCCCAGGTTTAGAAAGTCCTAATTGCTTGATAATAAGGAGCAGAGGATGCAAACGCGGGTCTGGTTTTTAGCCCAAACCACTGTTTTCCCTAGAACATAGCTCAAGCACTTGACTGTTTCTGGTTGGTTATGTTTCAGCTATTTCTGGATTTTGGAAACGGTTGTAGCCAGAACGTCCATGCATATTTACATTACAAATAGACAGATGGGTAGAGAGACTGAAGGATGGAGAAAACATTGGTGTTTTCTCCCACCAGCAAATCTATATGTGATCGCTTCATAAAATGTTGATGCAGGTCAAGTATAGATGTGGCATTTCTTTTGTCAAAATCAGCATTAGCATGAGTGGCACGGAGGCGGTGGCTGGAGAACAGACATGAGCGAAAGGACTAGAAAAGGAGCCTTTCAGATAAATGTATGAAAGGTAAATGAAGTTGTTTTGGCTGAACTTGGTAAGGGAACCACGAAGGGTTGCTGAGACCATCTTAAGCTTGAGAGTGTAATGAAATAGCAGAAAATTAAAGAGACACCATACTAACAAACAGCAAGTGTTCATAACTTATTTGACATCTATATTATTTTCTGAATATATAATTTCAAATAGCTGGCCCTATATTAGTAAATATTTCTCTCAGATAGACAGACAGACAGACAGACAGACAGATGTGTTCTTCCCAACTGGACCCTGCTGTTTTTCCAGATAAAATGGACATAGAAGAGGCCTTCACCATGCATGTGTAGACAGTCAGGCTAGCCAGTGCAACCCCAGCTCACCAAACTCCAAAATACACACACACACACACACATGCACACACACACAATTTTATTAATATACAGCAAATCCTTGTTAAGTACCTATAATGCCACAGACCCAGAAAAATACACTATGCTGACTTGGGGGAGGGAGACGGAAGGAGCTACGTGCGTTGGGCGTTACTTGCCAGCCACCGAGCTACCAACACGCATGTTAACTGCTCCAGTTCTCACAGCTCTGCCAGCCCGGCGATGGCGTTATCCCTACTGCAGATAAAGCAACTGCACTTCAGGGGAGTGTCACTACGTCTACTTAGGGCGCTGAGCGTGATCCCCTGGGAGATTCTCTTTCTCAAGAGTTTGGACAGACACATATGGGACCAGGGTAAGAAGATATGGAAGCAAAAGCTGCAGTGACATGTGAACATGGAGAAACAGGCCTCGTGGAAGCTAAAACACTGAGGACAGAGAGTGCAACGACTGGTCGGAGACTTCAGGCTCCGCGGTTCCAGGGAACTGAGTCACCGAGGTGTCTGGGGGTCCGGCTGCTCCTCTGAGCGCCAGGGAGACATCCAGTTCCTGCCACCGCTTCAGAGACTTCCAATTCCCGGGCTGCATCCTTCTGCATGAGGCCAGGCTGCCCTGATTTTTATGGCATCTGGAAGCTGCTGGCCAAGCCTCATTCCCGCAGTAGCTGGTACCCACACATTCACCCATGGCGGCCTGAGCAGTGACTTCGTCTCTTTCTCTTTCACTTTTGAGCCACCAGGACAGTTCCTGCACTAGGTGGAACCCACTAGAAGGTAGTCTGGCAAAGGAACCTCCAGGCTGCCAGCTCCCGAGAATCAAGAAGTAGCAGAGAAGGGAGAGGATGATGCTGCGATGCAGCAGGCAGCCCGGCCCCCTCCCCTAAGCAGAGGGAAGCTTCTCGTGCATTTTCAGACAGAGTGAAATGTTCGAGAGAACTGATCTAAGTACAGAGAACAATCTAGAGGACAGCAGCAGTGGGATGCTTTATTAAAAGGTTATTTCACTAGTCTGCTTGAACCAAGATGCTGACAGCGAAGGTGAAGACAAGTTGCCAATTTAAAAGATTTGAGGAGGGTGTGTGTGTGTGTGTGTGTGTGTATTTTGGAGTTTGGTGAGCTGGGGTTGCACTGGCCTAGCCTGACTATCTACACTTGAATGGTGAAGGCTTCTTCTTTGTCCATTTTATCTGGAAATACAGCAGGGTCCAGTTGGGAAGAACATGTCTGTCTGTCTGAGAGAAATATTTACTTATACAGAGCCAGCTATTTGAAATTAGATATTCAGAAAAATAACATAGATGTCAAATAAGTTATGAATACTTGCTATTTGTTAGGATTGTGTCTCTTTAAATTCCTGCTATTTCATTATGCTCTCAAGCTTAAAATGGAGAGGGCTTCATAGTGGAGGGATGTGCATGAGAGGGAGATCAGAGGTGCCCCCCACTTCCTGACGGACAGGTTGATGGTGCTGCCATCTCGGCGATGGGAGTCCCGCAGGACTCACCAGAAGGCTTGTAAGTCAATCCTTGTTCTCTGTCCTCCTGGAGCCTCCACGCCCCTGGAAAGTTGGCCTCAGTGCATCTCTCACGGTGCAGCCCAGGTCGTGCACATCACAGGTCTTCAACAAGTAATCATTAAATTAGAGAATTATGGGGCCTCCCTGGTGGCTCAGGCGGTTGAGCGCAGCATTGTGAAGCTGTCTGCAGCCTCTGCAGTGCTGGTTCCATCCCTGCCAGCCATGAAGATACCTACATGGTGCGGCAGACCTCTCCTATCTTGC